TGGTCGGAGAAGTTTCAAACCTTTATCACAAAGAAGAGAAGTTATTATCCGAGGTTCGCTTGAGTATTTTTCTCTGTCTTTTGCATTTCCTTATTTTACCCAAATCTTCTATATATCCGGTGTTAAGTGGCTGTGGTTTCAGCATAAGGGGTGTATGAGATGTTATGTGGTGTTTTCTGCCATCACTTATGTTTTGGGCTGGTTGTGACTTTATCTTCAAGTTAGAACACTTTATCTGCCATCACTTATGTTCATAAATTATTGTATTTCTGTATGTCCTAGTCCTTGTTTTGGAGGTCAGGGATTTACTTAAGTTGACTCTTTATTTTTCTGTTTCCACCTCTCTTTTTCCAGACTATTCCAGATCTTTGCTGGGAGTTAGCGCAACTCCAGGACACATACATTTTGCAAGGTAGAGTTTCCCTTCTTTTCTTTTTGAGAACTGAAAGTAGGTCAACAGTTATGTCAGTGATCATATTGTAATTTTATCTCCTTTTAGGTGATTATGATCTAAAGGTTATGCGGCAAGAGTTCTATATTAGCAGACAAAAAGCGGTATGTTTGGCTATTATTCAAAAGTTTTTATTTTTTTATATCTTGCTTGGGCTTCTTTTCTTTTTTCCCCCATAAAAAGCAGAACCATATCCTAGATTTTTTAGGGCCATGTAGCTTTTGCTTCTTAGTTTTTAGTGGAGATATAATGCATTTAGCTTAGGTGAGAAACTAAGAACAGGCACGTGGAATAATCACCATTTTACAGTACCTGTTAAGAAAAAAAATGTTCCTGTTGCATGTCAGTTGTATTCAATCATGTCTACTGTTGGTTAGACTTGATGCTTCCTCTTGAGAAAATATAGCAGTTCAGTGAAAAATATGGAAGTTGATAACTGTTCCAGTTAAATAATTCATGTTTTATAGCACACTCTAATTAAATATGTTTGACATGTTACTGTGATCAAGGACCAGTGTAGCGTTCATATTTTTACTAGCATCAGAACCACTTGAACAACATTAACAAATTGTTTAAAGTTGTCCCCCCCCCCCCAAGTTATACACTGCCACTAAGCATTCTCCATTCTTTTTGCAGTTTATCAATCATCTGATCAATCATCTTGCAAGGCATCAGCTCTTAAAAATAGCTTGTCAATTGGAAAAGAAGAACATGCTTGGAGCATATTCATTGCTTAAAGTTATTGAATCAGAGCTTCAGGCATACCTGTCAGCAACCAAAGGCCGGGTGGTATGTTTGATCTTATGGATGTGGTCTGGTATTTTTATGTGCATCCTTATATTTCTATCAGTGTCTTTTTCTATGATGCCCAAAGGGACATTAATACATTTATCACATCTAAGTTGCCAGTTGCTGCTCTCCTATTTTGGGATTGTATGAATTGTGATGTTGCACATTTTTGTTTCGGCTTTCTGTTTGTGATATGGTCCACGTTAATGTCTAAGCTTTGAGTATTAGAGGTTGAATTGAAGTCTCTATTTTTTGGTGTAAGATAGCTTTTTTTACTTGTACTAATATTAAAAAGAACAAGGCAAAGAACACTATCAAATTCAAATTATTTATCATTGTTTTAAAGATGGAAGTAAGAAGAAAAAGATGTTTCAATAAAATTCCTGTAGGTCTTTAGCTTGGTGAATTTTGTTCTGTTAGTATTTGAAGGCAAATTAGAACTTTGGACATTCTCATTGAGTACAGTACATGTGTTGCTACCAAGGAGGGTAATTAATTCTCAGCTACTGGTTAAAAAGTTCTTTGATATTAAATCTAGAGTGTTCTTTCTGAAGTGCTTTTTGGATCCTTTTTCTTTTACATCTTGGTTCAATTCTATCTGAGACAGTAGTCTTTAGGGTGCTGTTTCAGATTTCCTTGGAAATCCTAACATGGAAAACTATTTATTATCATTTAGGGTCGTTGCTTGGCACTAATTCAATCTGCATCTGAGGTCCAAGAGCAAGGTGCAGTTGATGATCGGGACACTTTTCTGCATGGTGTTAGAGACCTTTTAAGCATCCATTCAAGTAATGTCCCCATGGTTACATATTTAGACCGGATTATTGTTTCAATACGGGGTTTTTGTTTAGCTGAAGGATTTTGATTTGTGGTTGCTTTTGGCATTTCCTTTAGATGCACAGGCTGGTTTATCAACATATGTATCTGCTCCTGGCATTGTGCAACAAATATCTGCTCTGCATTCGGAATTGATGGCTCTTCAATCCGATCTTGAGAATTCTCTTCCTGAGGACAGAAATAGATGCATCAATGAGCTGTGAGTTATTCTATTTTGCTTGTATTTTAGAAATTTTCTTCAACGTTACTATTCGAAACACATTTAAAATACTTTCTGAGTTAGAATTGTGTTTGATGAATTTTGAGCATCTGGTATTTCCTTATTGTGCCAGGTGCACTCTGATTCAAAGTTTGCAGCAACTATTATTTGCATCTTCAACAACTGCACAACCAATATTGACACCTCGGGTATGTCCAACTATCTGTGCACAGCCGTGTCGATTTTACCCTTCATTTCCACTTGAACAATGATTCTGTTAATTATCATAGCCTCATTACTCGGCCTTTCTTTTGCATGATAAAATTCACGTGCTTTGCTGACATTTTGATTCCCCCCTTTAGCCTCTAATGCAAGAGCTGGATGAAATGGAAAAGATCAATGCAAAACTCTCTGCCGCAGTCGAGGAGGTTACCCTTGAGCATTGCAAAAAGAACGAGGTAATCGGAGTTGATAAAACAGTTTCCCTCATGGATGAAGTCTTGCATATCACTTCATACGATTACAACCATTTTCAGTTCCCATTCCACTATATGCTCAATTTATCACAGTTGAACATATGGCAGATAATCTTTTGAGAAGTCCTTTTAACCAGTGGTCGAAAAATTTTGGTATGATATGCAGATTGTAAAACATCATTCGCAAGAGGTTGGTCTTCAAAGGCGGGTGTTTGTGGACTTCTTCTGCAATCCGGAGCGATTGAGGAGCCAAGTAAGGGAATTAACTGCTCGTGTTCGAGCTTTGCAAGATTCCTAATCCTTTCTGTTTGGTATATGATGAAAGATATTCGTTTTTATGTGTGAAAATCCGGTTTCAATGTTTGATACTACCTTTTGGTTTGTTTTTTTAATCACCGCAGTTCTTTTCCCTGAAAAAAGGAACAAATTATACAAGTATCAGAAAATTTATATTTGATTATAGTTATTTTCATTATATTACGTAAGGCTTTAATAAAGTTTTACTTCTACGGTAACAAATCTGATTTTTTATTAGAAGTTAAAATAATGTATTTTATTTAATGAGCCCCTAATACCTTAAAAAATGTATTTTAAAAATATTAAATCTAAAGTGGTGGAGGGTGGAGAGGTAGACAGATCTCGTGTTCAAGGGTGAGTATATACAATTTGATGGGGAAACGAATTTAGAAATTCTAGGGGATGAAAATATATTTTTAATATAAAATATAAAGAAAATATATGAAAATTTGAAATTTTTAGAGGGGCAGTTGCCTTTATTTAAGTCTATCAATACCATCAAATTATCGGTTTTTCTATTTTATTTCTCTTCACATCTACTTCTAATAATCACTTCGTCTGTTGTACGTTAATACTCTAATAACGCAAAGCAAGTTGGCTGAAAGGCCTGACCTTTAAACGACCCGGATTCTGGTGCCAAGGGTTCAAATTTAGTAAAAGGGAATCAAATGAACATGGCTTCTCAACAACTCATAATGCATCAAAAGATGAATATGAAATAAATAAATAAATTATAGAAACATCAACAATGCGCTCAAAATTAGTGGGGAAAGATGTGAATTTCTTCACGCAAATTTTTTGGGACAAACTAAATAAACAGTCATTAATGTTTTTCTTTTCTCCATTGATATTTCAAAACTAACGATTTGATCATTAATGTTATCGATTTATAAGAAATCTTTATAAGCACGACAATGGCGATAGCTATGGAGATGCATGATGTGAAAGGAGAGTGGTGAAGGCCATTTCTTGTGTGAATTTGATGCTGGTTTTGAATGAGATTGATGACCATTCTTTAAATCCTGAGAGAATGCTCGAGAGGTTTCTAAGATGAATTATCATTCCAAGTTAACTGTTAACCCAGGTAATCTGCTTGGTCTTTAAGTTACTTTGATGATTGCTAATACGTTTTTAACTGCGACAATTCCAGTTTACGATGGTTGAGATTAGAGGTGCACAAAAAATCCGAATATCCGATTTTGTGTAAAAAATATCCGAAACCGGATTTGGGAAAAACCAGTTTTTTTTAAACCGGATCGGATATTTTAAAACCGGATAGTATAACCGGTTTGAGAAAAAATTGGATGACCGGATTTTTTACCGGATTAAAAACCGGTTTGAAAAAAACCGGATAAAAAACCAGTTTTTTATCCGGGAAAAAATTCGGTCTGGGGTTTAAAAAATTGGATGACCGGATTTTTTACAGGATTAAAAACTAGTTTTTTTAAAAAACTAGTTTTTTTTCAAACCGAAACCGGTTACACCGGTTACATCATCCGGCCCTCCAAACCGGTTATGATCCAAACCGATTTTTTTATAAACCGATTTTTTGGCTTAGTGAAAAAACCGGATCGGTTATCCGATCCGGATCGGATTTAAATCCGACTATGTGCATCTCTGGTTGAGATCAAGGTAGGGTCTTCTACCATCTTTTCCGTGAAACCTGATCTAAAATAAAGTTGTGTTTTTCAAGGATTTAATGGACCATTTGTGTAAGCTGGCTTTACATTTACATCCTTGTTTCCTTTTCCTCTATATGTTAAAATTAATTCAATTCGATTATGAATTTTCTTATATATTTTGGTTCTCAATGATTAAATGAATAGTTATTATTCTTAGAAGTCTTGGGTTCAAGCATGACGCTTATAAGGGTGTTTGAGCTTTCATTGTCAAATGATCGAGAGCCTTTCTAACATATACTACCGTATAATCACAAAAATAAAGTGATATCCTTAAAAAAGATAGCCTCCCAAAAATATAATAGGGTTTTACCAAGAAAAGAAAAGCACTATTTGGATTCTCTTTCTTAACCAGATAATCCCCCTAATATACAAAGGGAAGGGTAAGCAATAGAAATCACTTGCCTTATCCCCCATTCACTCTTCTTCAACTCCTTTAAACTATGCATATATGACTACATATATAGCATGCACTTCTCAATGGCGAAACCTTCACTTTACACAAGTTGGCACCAAGCACCTTGAAAAGAAGCTCAGTACTCTCTTCTGCATCAAAATAAAATACCAAAATATTAATAACGCACACAAATTTTTCAGACATGGACACATCTAGAGATGGACCTACCGGAGCCATGACCCACACATATCTTGATGAAACAAAAAAATAGAATATAATTCTAATATATATATATATATATATAAGTTACTTTAAAAAATTATATTGGCCTAATTGATATATTTTTCTAGATTCCATTTAAAAATATATAATCATGATTATATTTTTAAAATAAAATATATATACAAATTATATTAGACAAATTTTTATTATATTTATATTAGCCCATCGAATAAAATTCTATGTATTCATCACTACCTATACCTACAAACATAGTTGCTCAACTTAAATCATTTAAAAAAGTTAAACATTTTATTTTACTACCGAAATAATTTAATGAATTCTCAACCATTCATATTAATGGTTAATGGGAGAGTGGAGGGACCTTTCTGGGTTTAGCTTGAAGGAGGTGGGGTGAGATTTTATAGAGATCTTCATCAACGGGTTTGGGCCTTGGCCTTGGCATAGGAGCCCGTTCTTCCCACCTTTGCTTTTTATCTTCTTTGACATGTGATTGTCTTGCTCTTCCCTGTAAAATCTCCATTAATCATTACCAAGAAAACCCAGATTTACTATCATCATCGTTTTAATATAATTAAAAAAATCAGTTTTGGTAATAAGGAGTGGTTATTCATGGAATCCACTCGCATTAAATTGACTTTAGAAATGACAAGATTTTGGTCCCCACCGGAAAGCAGTTTCTTTCTTGATTATGGTAATACTATGAATTTTCCTCTTCTTTTTCCGTTTTGACATTTTTCATGAACAATTCAATGCATATACCCTTTCACGCGCATCGACACTGCCCAAGTTCATTATGAAAAAACAGAAGAATCTCAAATGCACATGCAAACAAACAAAAAACCCAGAAATCAGATTTCTAAAAGGAAAAGAAAATGCAAGTCTAAACTTGTTGTTCTTAGTTGTTACCCTTGAGCGAGGAATCATAATCACGGCAGGTGTAACGACGTCGTTTTGATAGAGATCACCGGCGACGTAGAAATCCCGATCCTGAGAGTAGGTGTAACGAAGCAAGCCAGCTTGTCGAGCTGATTCAAAACGCCGAGTAAAAGGGAGATCGTTGTTCCAGTCCCAGCTACCGAAGGCTGGAACACGGATCCTCCTGTAGTAATCCTAAAACCCAAAATCAAAAACTTCAAATTATTTCATCCCAAAATCAGAAATACAACAAACACGATGAAATGAAACCCAATTCACTTACATCCATACTGTGTTGGAAATGGAGAGTGAGTCAGAGTGAAAACTCGGAACTCAGAGGATTGACCTGCCTTTTTTCCAAAGGCTGAAGAACTCGAGATTGAAGAGAGACTCTAAAATTTGAGTTTTCTCTTTTCCTGATTTGTTTGCTCGTGGGAGCCTGCAGTTTTAAACAAGGGAATATCGATGAAAGCAGTAAAATCTCCCGTTGGCGTTTGGTAAAAACTAAAGGTTTATTTTATAAAATTTGGTACTTGAATTTGATAATTTTTTAAATTGGTACACCAACTTATGGAAAATTTAAATGGATATTTATTTTAACTTAGCATTTCAACAATCAATTGTATTGTTGATATGATATTGATCGATTAAAATGACGATGTGGTTCAAGTAGGAAGTCAAATTTTAATTGGTTGTTCAAATATCACTTTAACACCAAGTATCAATTAATTTTTTTTTACAAATTTATGTGCTAATTTAAAAAATCCTTTCAAATTGAAGTATCAATTTGAGATTAAAAATTTTAAAGTATTTATTTAAGAAGAAATGTTAAATTTAGATATCAATTTGTATAATAACCCACTCATCTAGGTTTCACTGTTCACAGTGAGAAATGCAGTGACAAAGATGTAAAAGACAAGCTAAAAGAAGAGGTAAAAGCCAAGATTAGGTCGCTTATTTTTTACAATTATCCTTTATATATATATATAATTTATTTATATTTTTTAATTAATTAATAACGTACACATCCTGTAAAAGTAGTTACTCAAATATAACTATTTAAATAATATCCTCGGAGGCGAAACGTAAGCTAGACTAGAGGGGCCATGGCCCCCTCAAAATTTAAAAAAATTCTAATTTTGATTAAAATTTAGGAAAAATTTATATTTGGCCCTCTCAAAATTTTAGAAATTCAAACTAAATTTTATTTTTTTAATATTCTTAATTAAACCCGCTCTCATAATTTTAAAAATTCTCATTAAGCCTCTCAAAATTTTTAAAATTGTAGTTAGAACCTAATTTTTGTGGAAAAATATAAATGAAACCCTTCAAAATTTTTAAAAATCTTAATTTAAACCTTTAGATTTTTTAAAATTTTAAGCTGGCCCCCAAATTCTATCACCAAATTTCACCACTGAGTATCCCTTATATTTTTAGCTTTAAAATGGCCTTAAGTCCTGGTTTGTCCCTTATCAAATGTATGTTCCAATGATTCGGATCTTGTTTTTCCTTTTGTTTCGTTTTGGAGTACTTTTGGTTTTAGTCCTTCTATTATGCTGAGTTTTGTAATTTAATCCCTCTCACTTTGTTAAATTTATTATCTCTACCTTCATAATGTTACTTGTAGATTTAAATTTATAACACAACTAAAGTGATAGCATGAATCATTTTATTATTCAGTCACATAATTAAAAATACATATTTAATTTTAAATATGGTCCATAATAGGTCAAAATTGAAAAAAACTATACATATTTAATTTTAAAATTGGTCAATAATAATCTTTTAAAATCCGTCGTTGGAATTAATGTAAAGCAACAGAGACCATACGAGAGTGCAAGTTATGGAAGGTAACAGTGTTAAAGTTAAAACTGCAGAAGACGCAGTGAAATAGAAAAGTAATAAATGTATTACAGAAAATGACAAGTGCTTTGTGGTCTTTGCTTTTACCATTTTATTTCATTAACCCTAAAATTAAATACTAACCCTTTTGTTTTGCTTCCATAATTGTAATAATTACCATCGCTTTTTACCCTTATTAAAAGTTTACCAATGGTGAAAAAGAATCATATTCTTACACCATAAGAGGATAAAAGGCAGAAGTAGGGCAGGGCAGGGTAGATTTGAGCTGAACCAATTACCACTTCTTCACACTAATATCAAACTTTAAGAATCAAAATTTATAAGATGTCCCTTTTCCCTTTTGATGGAAATGCATTTTATTTTATTTTATCAATCTCATATTTGAGTTGTTTTTAATTTTTTATTTAAAACTTATATAAAAATAATTATAATGATATTTATTTAAAAATTACATGAATACATATATTTAATGCTAAATGAAGTTAAAAGTGTGAGAATAAAATAGAGTATAAAAGGTATAGATACACAATCTGTTGTCAAGTGTGACAAGAGAGGGAAGGAAGAAAGAGGTGGGGCGCTAGCACTTGTTTACATCATTTTCTCTTTTAATTTGTCTTTCATTCTGCCTTAACATGAATCACAACTATAGTAACTGGATTGGTTCAAGTAGTAAGCAACTTGATATCGTTTAAATATATCTCGAGTTCGAGTCATTGTGTATGCAGAAGATCCTCACTGAGAGACTCACCCATCAAAGCTAAATGTACTACTCGAGTCAATCCAAATTAGTTAAGACAAAATCTTGAGAATCGGGAAGGAAAAAAATATGAATCACAACTATCACCATCTTTTCCATTTCTATATAACCTTATTTGCCTCTCAATTTCTTATAAAATTAACACCAAACTTATTTGTGCTTTAAATTAGCTAATATGGTATCCGATTGTTCTTTTTTTCTTCTTAATGGAACGCTTTCAGGCAGTTAAGCATAAGACATAAGCACCAAAACATGAGTTTATATAATTAAAAAATAATTACTATTTAATAAAATTGTAATAGCGTCTTGGAGCTTAAATTTAAGAAGTTATATTTATATTTTTTAATAGAATCCGTTAATTTTATTTAAAATATAAAATATCTAAATTATAACGAAGGTTTACAACTATAATCGTAAACTAAACATATAATAAAGATAACAACTAGGTTTGTAAACGAAATTGAACGAACACAAATAAGATTATGTTTATGTTCATTTGGTTAACTTTAACCGAACAAATGAACGGACACAACAACTAAACAAACATAATTTCTTGTTCGTGTTCATTCATCAATGAATGTAGCGTGTTCTCGTTCGCTCGTGTTCGTTCTTTAAAATGATAAACAAAACACAAACAAACATAAACGAACATAAACCACAACATTGATGATTTGATGTGAATTAAATGTTAGTTTTTGTTTGGTTTCGTTCATTGGAACAATGCATACCCATCAGATTCCCAAGAATCTATTTTTTCTAATCCCAATGCATATTCACTCCCAATAAGAAAAATGAAAAGGAAAAGAAAAAAAAAGATTCACTCAATCTGTTGTCAATTGTGATTTAGTCTTTTCTATATAATTCTTTTATGTTATCTCATTGTATTATTATTCTATTTTCAGTTTTGTTTTTCCCCCTAACATCTTATTTGTTAGTTCCGTGTTATTTTCTATTAAAAATGTTTAATTCAGTTAAAGCATATCACATATAAACTTAAAAGCCATTTAAAATTAAAAAAAAAACTCATAAAAATAAAATTCCCTGATGATATCAAAACAAAATCTAAAAAATTCTCTAATTTCCAAAATTTGTATTTTTATTTTCAAAAGATTATTACAATTAAATATTTTTTAGAAATTAAAAACCCATGAAATTGTTAAATTTTTAAAAAAAAACATCAATGTTTTTAAAATTTTCATTAAATGGGACATATTTAAATCGGATTGTGTGATATTTTTTTTTAAAGAAAAACAACAATTGAGAGATAAAATAATAATAAAAAACAATTAAAAATGCATACATAAAACAAAGTAAAAATTATATGATAGACTAAACACCGGTAGGACTAATGGGATAAAACACTAAATTTATTAAATAAGGTCAAGAGTTCATATTCTGATATTTGTGAATAGACTAAATTGAGTTAAGAGGACCTCTCTCATAATACACATCTATAAAATCTATCTAAAATAATTAATCAATAAATCAGATATCGATCGTTGAATATAACTATATAATATGAAAGTAAATATATATTAAGGCATTTGAAAACAAAAACATGTCCCTGCTCTTAAAGAAAACTGAAACTAAAAGGAGTCGAAAGAATCGCAAGGTTCCATAAATACAACTGTTATACACGAATTCTCTCTTTATATATTCCCTATATTCTGTCATGAATTGTTCTGACGTGCTCTGAAACAATACAATTACAACACATTCCCTCTGCTATATCTTTTCGGGGTTGGTATATACTGCCATCACTTTTTGCTCGTCTCATTCCCCACATTTCACATCGTTCTTCTTCCTCTACGTAGCTCAACGAATCAATTAATATCAGATTTGTCAATCTGGCTCGTTAAATTGATTTTAAATTTTATATTTAGGGTTTTAAATGACGAATCGTCATTTTAAATTCAAGTCGATTTCATGCTCAGATTGTCTCGTTCTTTCAAGATTAAGTTAGTTTTTTAGGTTCAAGTTATTTCATGTTGTTAAATTTTTAAATTTGGATCAAGTTTGATTTTGATTAGTTTGAGTTCGAATCGTTTTGAGTTGTTTGTTCAAGTCATTTGGATTTTAATTGTCCACATTCAATTTGCTATTAGCTTGGATTAAACGGTTTTTGAATATTAAAAGTTTTATATTTGTTGATAGAAGAAATGAGATTGTGACTGCTTTAAACGATTTAATGCTTATAATTTGGACGGAGAATCATGGCTGGTGGTACTAATAAGCTGAAGAAAATTATATACAATGTACAGGGAGATAGATCAAAAGAGAGGCAGTGTGTGAGTGGAAAAAGATCATTTCTTCAGTTTTGTATGAAGTTTATATATGGATTTTTGGTGCTGGTACTAGACCTAGGGTGATGGTAATTATTTATCGGTAGACAATGTGAATAGACTTGGCCTTCATATAATAAATTTGATAGAGATGAGATTGACAACAATCAACTCAGAAGACTATAGCTATCCGGAGGATATATTTAGAGGCTTTTAGGAACTTTAAAGATCTCGATAGACGAGAGATCAACAACGAAGTTGCTATTTATGGAGGAGCTATAACAATGCTCAAATCAAATCAGATAGATGTATAAATTTTGATACTTAGGTTTGATATTCGTATGCAACTAGGGATGAATATTTTACTCGAATTCAAAGGATTTTGACCCGATCCAATTGAATTAATTTTTTATTTGGAAAATTAAGCTTTGGATTGAGTTTTTGAAGGGTGGGAACGAGTCAAGTTTAAATTTAGGGTGAAAAAAATTGACTTGATCTGAAATAATATTAAATTTCTCCTTATATATTTAGGGATATTTCAATAATACAGTTTCCTATATATATATATTTCAGTTAAGTCATTTAGTATAATAAAAAAGAATTATATATATATTCACTTCGGACAGGATCAAGTGCGATTTTTGACTTAAAAAATCATGTTGAATTTCGGTTCGGATGGGTCCTCCTAAACTCGAATCGAGTCGGATAAGAGTAGAACGATTTTTATTTTAAGGTCAAATTTTGATGTGCTAAAAACCCGATCCGACCCATGATCATACCTATACATAATATTATATTTTTTTATGAAATTAGTTATTTTAAAATAATTAGACATTTAATTTTAACATAAATATTATCAGAGTATAAGGTAATATTTGTTCAATGATAATTCTCAACCTCTCGACATTAACCGCTCATACCCCTGACATCTATGGTGTTCGAACCCGAGTCCTCAAGGAATAACAATAATTCTTTTACCACAGAGGCCACTTGGTTCGTGCATTATCAAATTATATCTAAATCGATAAAATAAATAAAAATAAAAGATAGGATTGAATAACATTTACATATGAACCAAATCAAATTATAATTAAAATAATCTTTCCATAAAATTAAGATTTGAATGATTGTAATTTTTTATTTTTTAAAATATTTTTTTAATAAGTAGATATATTATATTTATAAGAAAAACATTGAGATTCAAACTCAATAATATAGAATAATATAATCATCAATTGATAAATTTATTTTGGACTAAAAATTGAAGTATATTACAACTTGAACCAAAACACTATCATTGGGATGGAATGGAAAATGGTTGAAAACATCTTGGAGGCCCAAAGTGGATTTGTCTTAGTCCACTTTATTTGGATGCAAGCCTCCTTCACTCTTATTGGGAGAGTGTTCTTGCAAATCCATGGAATTTTTAACATCAAACCTATATATATATATATAAATAAAATAAAATAAAATCCAGGTTTCAGATATATTCCAATACCCCAAGGTAGAAAATGTTGCAGAGCAGTGTCTTCTTCATAATCCCTCCTTGTTCGTCTCCAAATCTTCCTTCAACCTCCATTCCCTTCAACCTCTCTCCTCCCCACTTCCACTGGAACCTAAAACAACCCAACATAAAGAAGCAGCAACTCTTCTGCCGCGTCTCCTCCAGCTATGAAGTTGGTGGAGGCTACCCTGATGAAGAAACCCAGAACCAACATGTTCAAGGCACCCAAAACCTCAATTCCTCTCAGTATGATGATTTACTCAAGGGAGGAGACCAAGTCATTTCTGTTCTTGAAGAAATTATTACCCTTGTAAGCTCCCCCCACTCTTTTTTTCTGATTACTCCCATACCATCTCTTGTAGGATGCTTTGATTTGTTCTTGATGGAATGCTTGTTTTAATGGTATTAATAGTACGTCTTTAGAAACAGTTCAGGCTTTTGGCTATGAACCAATCAATCATTTAGCTAATAATCTTTAGAAAATTGAATCCCTCTTCTTTGTTCTACACAAAGACTTTAGTGATTAGTGAATTGCATCTTTATGTTCACTATCTGACGTGCAACGTTGGTACAGCTGGAAGATATGAACATGGATGAGGCGTCCGAGGAGGTGGCTGTTGAATTAGCTGCACAAGGAGTAATTGGGAAAAGGGTGGACGAAATGGAATCAGGGTTCATGATGGCTCTTGATTACATGATCCAAGTTGCTGAAAAGGACCAAGATGACAAGGTACTGCAACTTTATTTGTGCCTTTGCCAGACTTGTTAAGGTTTAGGTGTACAATATTTATTTTGAGAAATATATCTTGTAAGCTTTCGGATTTGTTCACAATTCGGTCTTTTAGTTGTGTTTTGGGATGTAAGATGACTAAAATGCTGAAACTTCGCTGAAAATAAGAATTTTAGCATGGGTTTGAAAAACTTGATTTGAAGAATAATTGAACTTGATGATTGCTTATTCCATGAACTACTCTTCTGTCAACGTTATCTTGTTTGTATCCAAGACCAAATTATAGTGTTTCCATGTTGCCAACTTATGAGCTATTAGCAGAACCATGTAGTAACACTCACCATTGTGGTAATTTGGCTCTTTTTATGGAATTTCTAACATCATTTAAAATTAGTTGAAGGTTCCATCTCCCTTCTTTGTAGTCCTTTCCCTTGATATAGGATTTCGAAAGTAATAGCAGCTGAGAACTGCTTCTAGTTACCATTAGTGTTTCATTTAAGTTTATCCGGATCATTTAAATCTCCATATAGTTTTTTTTGCATGTGTTTTGCTTGTTGGTTTGAGATTGCTACCCATCGTTTTGCTAGTTTTTTTGCGTCACATTCATCTCTTTATAGTTAATTCTTTTTCTCATAAGAATAAATTCCAAATTGATTTTCTTTTATTCAGCGAAAGTCACTGCTTGAGGTGATTAAGGAGACCGTGCTAGCACATCTCACAAAAAAATGTCCCCCACATGTAAGGAAGTCCCCCGAGGCTCAATCCGGGCTGTTCCTGATTCAATTTTAGCACAAAGTTAATCATATTACTTGACATGAACCAAATGATAAGTTTTTTTTTTCTTGCTCAAGGTTCAAGTGATTGGACTTCTCTGTAGAACACCCCTGAAAGAAAGCAGACATGAGCTACTACGTCGAGTTGCTGCTGGCGGTGGTGCTTTCAAAAGTGAAAATGGCACCAAAGTTCATCTTCCTGGAGCAAATCTAAACGATATAGCAAACCAGGCCGATGATCTGCTAGAGGTATATATATAAAAATCTTATAATGAATCATGCTTTCAGATATTGTTTGTTATTATTGAATTTGTATAAGTTGATAGATGCTTGAGCTTCCAGGAGATTATTGCATCTTCATAAGCATTTCTGGGTACTGATTGAGTGTATTTTAATTTGTAAATTAAGTTGCTTCCATACACTGACATATGTCAGCTATATGTCAGCTTCTATATAGGCTAGCAAACAGACTGCAATTGTTTATGCATTTGAGTATAGTGTTATTTTCCTTGAGACAGTGTTATGTTAAAAAAGTAGCCATTCACCGGATCGACATGCAAAATTATGTTGTATGTAACTTCATATATGACTCAATGAATAAAAAACAGCATCTTGAACTATAAATCACACGATAATTTCAACAATTTCAACTTAAAGTTTTTTTATTTCACTATTTATGAATTTAAAATTTTCAACCTTCATTGCAGTCATTGCTTCTTATAATATGAAGATTTCCAAGTTATGTTTAGTTTCGGTTTGTTTTTTGGTAATAATCCAACTTTACCTGGGTGACTAGCTTGGCATTGGGCTATTGCCTAGGTGAAAGAGCACATTAATTTTACTGTGAAGGGGATATGTCGAATTCAGCCTGCGAAGTTACATATTTCCCTAATTGTTATTTAAAAAGGAGGCAAGACACCCTTTTGACTAATACTTTGTTTCAATAAAAAAATGGTGAGTGACAAATATTCTAAACTTAAGGTGGGGAATTCTGCTCAGAGCTACAATTATGAAACCATTTCTTTTGGAGCCTTTCCTTTACCTTTGCATGGGCTTTAGGATATAGAATAAAATGTTGAAAAACATTTGTTTCCTGTTACCATTTTTATCTTATCCTGCTTTTGTTAGACCATAATTGGGTGGGGCATATTTCTGTTAGTTTTTTTATTGCATTGCTGAGGCTTGCTACATTCTTAGTATGTAAAATTATTTTTCATTATAAATGGTTTTTCAGACAATGGAAACTCGGCCCATTGTTCCAGACCGGAAACTACTTGCAAGACTTGTCTTGATCAGAGAGGAAGCTCGAAATATGATGGGAGGTGGAATACTCGATGAAAGAAATGACCGCGGTTTTAGTACTCTTCCTGAATCAGAGGTGTGCATGATTGCATTTATGTAAAACTAAAATTGATACACTATGCTAAACTGCAAACTTAAAAGCTATCGAAAGTTGTTGGAGAGGGCCCCAACCTGGATAGTGCCACAACAGGTGTCAAACCAAAGCGATCTGGGAGTTAATCCCATCTAACATTACAATTTAAGCGAAGGCTTGCGTGGCAACTGTGAATGGAGGGCTACATGATGGACAGTGAAATCAGAGTGAGAAGCAATGAACATTAAAAAAACACCAAAACATACCCACACAGAATATGATACAATTTAATAACGAAATAAGTTGTTGATGATCCTCTTAGTCCTATAAATCAAATATACTTTAGTTTTCATTATATTGGCATTTCAATGATCATTGGCATTATTCTGACCTTATCAATGCAGGTTAACTTCTTGACAAAACTTGTAGCGCTGAAACCTGGGAAAACTGTCCAGGAAATGATAAGAAATGTAATGTTAGGGAAAGATGAAGGTGCAGACTACTCTGACACTGATGAAGAAGCTAATTCTGGTAGAACGAGACCCCGAGGAATTGCAGGAAGGGTTAGTTTTATGTTCATTTATATACTTTCTTTTGTTTATTAAAATATGGCTGGAATGGCTGATGTGTGCAAAGTCATCGAAATTCTATTTCATTCACTCTCATCTTGTCATGGTAACCAGGGCAGTGTTACAGGGAGAAAACCACTTCCTGTTCGTCCCGGCATGTTTCTTGAGACTGTCACAAAGGTATTATTTCAAATACACTTTTAGGCAACATAATTTTCACTTGATCGAAGTACCTCATGGCATGCAAAGGGGTGATTGCCTTTTTGCTACTTTCAAGATCAGCAGTAATGGACTCTGTTTGTTTGGCGTTTCTAGGTTTTGGGTGGTATATATAGTGGAAATGTCTCTGGCATAACAGCACAACATTTAGAATGGGTAAGTTATCTTTTACCTTGCCTTCTTGGTAACTCCTGAAATCGATCCCATACGTTAGATTCGACTGCAGAAATCAATAACATCTGCTATTTCTCGTTTCTTAGAATCTTTTATTCTTTTCTTTGAACTCTCGTTGACAGTTTAATTAGAGTTCATTCATGTGATTATAATACCTTTGCATACTATACATGGTGCATCTTTTATAGATCAGCCTAAAGACTAATGGTGTTCGGTAATTGATTGGGAACTTTGAAGTAAAATGTAGTCATATATTAACATATTGCCATTCCATTTTCTCTTTTTCTAAATGAGCTAGAATTTGCTACTTCTCATCGAGGACTTCGTGCACGTAAACTTGTAGAACCGTTTTAAGTTTTAACCAGTCATATTCATCACCGTTTCTCCATGGTTCCGTTTATTCATTTCAATCCAGGTTCATCAGAAAACACTTCAAGTTCTTCAGGAAATCGCATTCTAGTTCTTTGAGCAGCATGTACCAGAAGTCAGATTACATCATGGGGCCAATTTCATCCAAGGGGGAGAGTCGATATCGTTAGTAGAGGTAAGAAAATACCGTTCCCAACTACAAAAATATATGTGAAATTAAGTCATTGAGAAATCGAGCAATATTACATGAACATTTGTTACAAGAGCTGCAGTTTACTATTTTGCATTTTCGTAGTGTTTGAGGCCGAAATTTGGGGGAGGGCTCTTGTTTTCCTTTTGAATGAATATGTATTTATCTTGATTGCAGAAAATTGTGTGCTTCAACATTATTCTTTCCTGGTCAGTCAGTTACAAATTTGTGGCTCGAACTACAAGCAAAATAGCAAACCTTAGACAATAACAGTTTTGTTTACCTTGTCAACTTCAACTTCCAACTGAGCTAGATGCATGGGCTTAGGTATGTATTGATTTGTCTAGGGAGCAGGGAAGGATCGAGGGGTGCTGAGGGGACGGTCACACTCCATAAAAGTTTCAAATTCTCATATAATTTATGTACTTTCTTTTGATGATTTAATTTCACATCTACTGAATTTCTAATATACTTCCGAAATGTTTGTACTCCTAATACAAATTCATGCGCCTGTCCCTACTAATATAACTATTCCAACCATTCCCTTCTGCATGCTACCACCGTTTCCCCATCGGTCCATTTATTTCGAGTGACGAGGATGGATTGATCACATTAAATTTGAGTTTAATATTTTGGTGAAGCAGGCAAACCATTAATGTCAATACCTAACCTACAACTTTATATGAAATGAACTATTAATACCAATACAATTACTAAGGTGTCAAAATTTAAATAAAATATTTATAATCATGACATGAGAAAAATGTAAACATAAAGCTAGGGATGACAGCTAGGGCTGTAAACGAGCCGAGTCGAGCTCGAGTATTGTTGAGCTTGACTCAAACTCGAAAAGTTTACAATTAGGCTTGACTCGACTCAAAAACTCAATAGCTAAAAATTATCAAGCTCAGCTCGAACTCAAAATATAATATTGAAACTCAACTCAAATTCGAAAAGGCTCGAACTCAAAAAAAATTCAGGAGCTCGATTGAAGCTCGATTTTGAGCTCGATTCAAGCTCGAACTCAAACTTGAATTTGAACCTATAAAAATCTTATCACATTTAAAAATATATTTTTAAAAATTTATAATTATCAATAATGTATTTTTAATATATTTTTAATAATGTAATTTTAAAAAATCTAAAATTATAATATAACATTTTTTTTGAGTAGCTCGCGAGCTTTTCGAGTCAAGTATTAAGTAGCTCGTTTTAGCTCGTTAAAAATTTGAGTTAAGTTCGAGCTCGAGTCGAGTTCATTCGATTCAAGTATTGATCGAGCTTTGATCGAGTCGATCTCATATAGCTCGCGATCTGTCTCGTCTCATTTACTGCGCTAATGACAACATTATGCGGAGTAATATGTAGACGTCAATAAACCTGAACTGTCTTCTCTCATGCTACCTTCATCATATCGTTCAATCTTAAATTTTTTAAAATAAATATAATATATTGATATATACAGTATGTCATACATCGATATGTACTGTTAAATAAATTATCTTAGTCAAAGAAAGGGAAGATTTAAAAACAAATTAACCTTGTAAAGGGAGGATTTAAAAACAAATAAAAAGGATATCTGTTGTTAGTCTAAATTTGTGAAATTTTTATTTTTTTATTGAAAATATGAGTAATAATATATAAAATAATTGTTTAGTACATTATTATTGAGAAATGGTTTCATAAATAACTTAAAATAATAAGTATTATATCTATTTACTTTTATATTTTGTAAATGATAGAACATATATTTCATAAATACCTTAAATATAATTATTAAGTATTATTATAGTATTTTCAAGTTTTATAAAATAAATAAATAAAATATTAGTTACTATTTTGAGATCAAAACGAAAGGATGCATACGTTTAATCGTTTCATAATTTTAAGTAATTTTGTTGTATGATAATCTAATTTAAGACAATTGTAACTTAAAATGTTATATAAATTTTAGCATTTCTGATTTCAACCGAAAAATTATATTATAGAGTTTAGGGTTTATAACCAAAAATAGTATGAAAAAAATAATATTTTTATTGCAACAAAAAATATTATAAAAAATAATATTTTTTTATTATCCAACCGAAAATATTATACCCTTAATAAAATTAACGATTATAATTGATTTCTACTAATTTTTTTAATTCTTATATTGATAAATTATATTTTAGAATATTTTACGTATATTTTTACAGATGCACTTTCCCTGACGGATTAAATGACAAACTTATTTAATTCTACATTTACTTTTTTACAGATGCACTTTCCCTGTCATTTTAAATGTCAGTCACCTAACCCTGAGGCTGAGGGACGTGCTTATAATAATAATAATAATTAAGATGGGTATTGGGTTATCTAACGGTTACGATTAAACTCGTGATTTTAAATTATACTACATTATAATACATTCATTTTTAAGTTAAAAGAAAATGTAAAAAGTTGGGAAAAAATAATGCATTATTAAAAAAAAAACATTACATGAGAAATGATAAATTAGTGTTTTCTTTAAAAAAAAACTGGAATATTTATATAAAACAATGTATGTGAGAATGAAAAATAGGAAATTTGTAGTTTATAATTTTATGTTAAATACAATTTACATCCTTCATCTCTTATTCTTCCAAAACAAAAAGGATTTTTTTTGTACTTTTTTATCTGAGTTGATTTTTTTTCCATTTTAGGAACAAAATACTTTAAAAAAAAAGTTAAAATAATTATTTAATAAAAAACTAGATACATTTTTAGTATTATACAAAAAAAGTGATATTAATGATTATTTTTCTAAAATAAAATTTTCAAAAAATAAAATAAAAAATATAATAGTTTTGTGACTAATGTTATAATTTACCCTAGAATGAAAGCACAATCTTGACATTGATAGATTTAGAATAAAATATTTACATCAATCAAGTGATCTTAGTAGTAAAAGAATTATTTTTATTCTTCGAGGTCTCAAGTTCGAGCACCATGAATGTAAAGGATGTGAGCGCTCAAAAGAGCACCATGAATATAAGGGATGTGAGTGTTCAATTCAAATGGTTGAGAGTCATCTTTGAACATATATTATCTTATGCGGATATACTTATTCTAGAATAAAAAAAAATTAAAACTCGTTTAATATTATAAAGCCTGAAGTTCCATCTGTGTTTGCCTTCAGTTTATATATAAGCGCACTTGGAGGGTGAAGAAAAGTAAAGAAATAAGGCATGGCAAAGAGTGATGGGGAAGTGAAAGTTTTGGGAACATGGTCGAGTCCATTTGTGATGAGGGCAAGGATTGCCCTTAACATCAAGTCTGTCAATTACGAATTTCTTCAGGAGAGGTTATGGGAAGGTAAAAGCGACCTTCTTCTCCAATCAAACCCTGTTCACAAAAAGGTCCCTGTCCTTATTCATGGCCATAACACTATCTGTGAGTCTCTCATTATTGTCCAATATATCGATGAGGTTTGGTCTTCTGCTCCCTCCATTCTTCCTTTCGAGCCCCATGAACGTGCCGAGGCTCGCTTCTGGGCTGCCCATCTTGATGAAAAGGTACGTTCACAAGGACCTATTCTCTTTTTCTTTGAGAACGTTTTAGTCTTCAATGTTTTATTTTTTTTTATCAAAATAGTTCATGTGAATGAAAATCATTAATTGATTAATAACGTATATTACTAATATGATATTTTTACATATACTTAATTAGTAATGTAACATATGCTACATCATCAATCTAGACACCGTGATACATGCCACATTATCACATTGAATGATGTGATATATGACGCGTCAACAAATAAGTATATATGAAAATTTTGTGTCAGCAACATGAGTTGCTCGTTAATCAATTAACGATTTTCATCCAATAGGTTTATTTTGACAAAAAATTAAAATATTGAGAGTTAAAATACTCTAATAAAGAATAGAGTCTAAAATAATCATTTTATCTAATAGGTTTATTTTGACAAAATATTAAAACATTGAGAGTTAAAATAGTCTAAATAAAGAATAGAGTCTAAAATAATCATTTTAACAAATATTGTGAGCAAATATTGGGGTTTAATTGTTTGGTATGTATTGTAGTGGTTCCCTTCAATGAGAGCAATTGGCATGGCTGAAGGGGAGGATGCGAGGAGAGCAGCAATAGGGCAAGTGGAGGAAGGGCTGGTGCTGCTGGAGGAGGCATTTGGTGAGTGCAGCAAAGGGAGGCCGTTCTTCGGAGGCGATCGAATCGGATATCTCGACATCGCATTCGGGTGCTTTCTAGGCTGGCTAAGAGTGACAGAGAAGATGACCGGGATCAGGCTGCTTAATGAAACCAACACTCCTCATCTGCTTAAGTGGGCGCACAGGTTCTGCTCTGATGATGCCGTTAAGGATGTCATGCCTGAGACTGAAAAGCTTGCGGAGTTTGCCAAGATGATTATGGGCAGAATGAGAGGAGCTGGCAAATCTTGAGTTGGTTTAAGTTTGAATAAGAAATTGACAAGAAGGCATTTGGTGGATCTTTTACCATATTTTATATGTAATTTGTACTTGTCGTTTTTCTAAATAATGTGACCATTGGATCCATCTCTTTAAAATGTTGGTTCCCTTTCATCATCATCATTACACTAAAGAAGATGTATATTTGCATAGGGGTAAACTATATATTTAATTACGTAATTATTTCACAGTTTCATTTTGATAACTCAACTATTTCTAAAAAAAATCATATTCAAAATCTTGTTTTGATCATTCACCGTTAAAAAATAAATATAATCGCTAACGTGATAATTTTTCAATGATAATGTGGTATTATTTTATGATGACACATCAATATCACTGTTAATTTTTTAACTGTAGGTGACTAACATGAAACCAAAACATAACTTTAATATGATTTAAAAAAATGACTAAAATGGAATTACGGTAATAAATGGATAAAAATACGTAGTTTACCCGTTTGTCCGTCAGTATAGGTGTTGTTTAAGATGATCAAAGTTAAGGCGGGTAGCTTGAATTCTAATAAAACATTTATTTTTAAGGCTAAACTACTTATTTGGTCATACAATTATGAGATCAATTCTATTCTAACTATAAAATAAAAAAAATATGAATTAAATCATTAAACTTTCATTTTATTATCAATCAAGTCATCTGTACTTAAAATTTTAACAAAAATACTGATATGGCTTATGATATGACTTCATATAATAACAATTTTAATCCTCAAAATTTATGTATCTATTAATTTGATCTCAATTCAAAACAATTCAATAAATTTGACCTTTCGTATTTAGAAGTTCCATCAATTTAGTCCTAATTATAGAAAGTGGGTATGTAAAATATAATTTATTGATATTCTCTTATTTTCTTCATATTGAACCCAATACCATATATCCCACCAATTTTTCATCATATTTACGTATTAAAAAAATAATAATAATAACAACAAAGACGAAAACTTATCGGTTGTGGCACTACATTGCCCCTTCGATCGACGCCTTGTGTCCACCATTTCGAGAATTCAATAAAGCTTAACCTCAGATTTTGCTTAATCAACAACGAAAATCTTCCTGCCTAACAAGTTTTTCACTAATTCTAATCGTAAATTTCCTCTCTTTGACACTAATCCCCCAAGAATTTCTCTCAAATCAACCTAAACACTGATAATTTCAAAAGTTTGATCCCTAATCACAATGTCTTATCAGATTTATTTGTAAAAATCTTATTAAAATGTTCTATAATTTGTTTTCACTCATTCAAGATACATACATTTTCTTTAGACGCAAGCCTCCTATGATGTGAAACACAATTGTGCCACTGCCAAATGGAACCAGACGGCTTTGTTCACTCACATCTCCTCAAAGCAGCTACACTTATCGGAATGAAACCAGCAGGAGAAACAAGAGCATCTACAGGAATGTCGAAGGGAGTAACTGGTATTGCTCCTTCCTCAATAATTTGGATTGAATAAGACAGTGCAACTGCAACCGAATAATAGTCGAGCAAACTTTTAAAACAGTATTGTATTGTGCAAATTATATCGAGGCTGCAATCAGGTCTTTTAAGAATGTATTGTTGCTATGACAATCGAGTGAAGATCCGGCATCAGTGGCACTTACCGAGGAGGGGTTGCTTCCATCTCTTCTTCTTTGTGAGCTCTTGGTAGTTCTTCAGGAACAAATCATAGTAACTTCCAGATATCATCATGAATTGACATAAGGGGGGAAACATAAGCAATATGAGGACAATATAATTAAAATCATAAGTAAATGAAAGTACAAACAGAAATATATAAGTTTGTAAATAACCTCTGTGGTAAACACCTCAGGGTCATGTGCAAGCAGTCATATTGAATCTAATAATCACATATTTAGGGACGAAAAGAATCATAAAAACCAATATTGCAAATAGAACCACACTGACTATAATTAATATGATTATTAACAATGCCATTAAAAAGGAATTAAAATAAACCAGAAAGTTGAAAAGTGTTAACCCACCCCCCACTTCGTCCTAGACGGCTTCCGGATTTGTCAAATGCAAGCCCTGATAGAAAAGGAAATTAAATGAGTTTTTGCATGCAATCCCAGCAGAAAGAGAAATGAGGCACAATAAAAAAAAGTGAGATGTATAGATATAGGCAGTCCATGGTTTGCTTCTTCGATTCTCCATTAAGTGTGGGTGTTGAGAATGTTAGTTTTCCCTTCTTTTCATGCTGTTTTTGAGGGAGTTGTATTGACAAGTAGAAATATGAAAATTACAACATAGATTAAACAGTTATATCGAATTCTTCATCGTTTAGGAGACATCGAACAGGAGAATGAAGACAATTACCAGGTAGTATAAATAGATCGAGTGGATCACTTGCTTGCATAACTGCACTGGGAAATTCAAAAATAGTTAGCATCCTTTCTAATTCCAAAAATGCTATATGCAGCATTTGTATTGAAGTAATCCAAGAAACAGGCTAGGGATCATACACCATGTTATGTAAAAAAATTAAAAAATTGAATAATTCGAGACTAAAATGGCAAAGAATTAGTACTTCCTAGAGTGGAAACCCAAAAGGTAACAGAGTATTTTGCTACTTTTATTTTCACAAGAACATGAATCAACTAATGAACATCCTGAAGACAAAAAAGCATGAACTCGACTTGTCTATATTAAATCCACAAGGTGATGTAGTGTTAAGAATATTAATCTTACATATGTTGCTGCAATGGATGAATAATAAAGCAAATATGGTTTATCGGTCTGAAAAACATCTGTTTCTATAAAAAACAAGCATGAGTCATTGATAAAAAAAAAAGCCAGCAACACAAGCAGATGCTTCAATTCCTTGGTCCAATCAGAAGTTGAGAGCTATAGAACTCTGTACCAAAATATTGAATTTGACAGATAAAAAAGGGAAAGGCAACAAAAGCCAACTGATGGCAAAATGTACAATAATATACACCAGTAACAAAATCGATTTGCAATATAGTTTGAAGAAGAAATTGAAATGCAGTGTCTCAGGCTTAGCTTCCCAGTCCACTTCCAATCTTAAATACCAATGCATGCACCCAAAGAAATGATGACCAGACGAGTATCTTTAAGCATACACACTAGTTAAAGGATCAAACAGCTAGGGAACATGAAACAGTTGATGTTATGGACCTAGGCAAGGGAAGAAACACCAATTTAACAAATAATAATAATAAAAGGAAAATAAAATAAGGAGGGGAGAGCACCGTCTTCACGTTGGTTCCCATTAGAATCTACTAAGGCTGGTTCCAAAATGTTCATTGAATTCTCAATAAGATCGTCAACACTGGATATCATCAGCATCTTCATGTTGCTATTCCTGTCCTCCACCCGTGGAACATAAAGTTTCTTCCTCTCTTCAAAGTTCAATACGAAACAGTAAATAAATAAATTAACAATCAAAATCTAAAACTTAACCCAGAAAAAGAAAAAAGAAACAAAACCTTCAGCAGGACTTGACAAAACTTCCGTGATAATCCTTGAGGTATCGACTTCGAGTAAAGCAGGAGAACTTATGTAAGCACATACGTTCTTACTAGCTTTGAACCAGGAAGATTCCACAACAGAATTCTGAATAGCATTATCTGAAGCCCAAGGCAGAAAAATCCCCGATGAGACATATGAACAAACACTAAAAATGCAATCAAAAGTAGAACTTGAATTCACGCGCTTAATTGATATTATATAGCTACCTTCTTGAGATCTCTGATTTGGGTCCATATTTTTTAGAGCTTTGCGTACTTTGGATCTAAGAGATCGTTTTTGTTCGAATATGGGTTCGAGTTCGTGGGAATCGATTCCAACGCAGTCCTTGTTCATGTTGACCATTGTGCGGCTTACGTTAGCGGCGGAGCAGCTGATGGTTGGGGATGGTATGATGTGCGCCACCACAATTGCCGTGCGAATTAGATGAGTGGCTTTGCGGGGAAGGAACATGGTTTGCAGTTTGGAGTTTGGATAGAAATGGATGGCACCCATTTCTAATCTTTAGTGGGTCGCTGTCCGTTGGTCGATGTTGATCTAATCATTAGTGCATGATCTTTAAAGTATACCATTTAAATCGTTTTGGTACTTATTTATTTATTTTGTCCAAATCATGTTATTATTTTAAATTCGAGCAACTATGTTTACAAAGTTGATACATTGTCAACGAATAAAAATAAACATAAATTACATAAATAGTCTCCTGATTATATGATATTATTTTATTGAGTCTCTCAACTATTAAAAGTTATAAAATGATCCCCGATTATATAAAGTTGTTTTGTTGAGTCCATTGAATATTAAAAGTTACAAAATGGTCACCTGACTATTCATTATGTTAAAAAAATAACTAAACATTAACATGCAAACTGATATATGATAATCATTTGAGATTATGAGATTATATTTTATCATATCTTAATCAGCAAGTAAATTCCAACTTAGACTGTCGTCAATCTTTTAACAAAAAATGACAACATAATGAATAGTCAGGTGATTATTTTGTAACTTTTAATAGTCAAGGGACTCAACAAAGCAACTCAACAAAGTAACTCTCTATAGTCATGGGATCATTTTGTAACTTTTAATAGTTGGAGGACTTAATAAAATAGGTTCATATAATTGGGGGACCATTTGTATACTTTACCCTAAAAATGTAACAGATACTATGTAATCACCCAAATTATTCTAAAAATAAATTATCATTTTGGGTAAACTATTCCAAGGACACTAAACTTTTGATTCCATTTTATTTTGACCAGTAAATTATAAAAATTTGTTAATTAGGTCACTAAAGTACACCAAAAATCCCTCTTTTCCGTTGCTTAAGTCTTCCGTCACATGGAAACATCTCTCCTTTTTTTTTTCTTCCTCCGCTTTATGATCTATCATCGTTCACGTCGTTGTCATTCCTGCTATTGTCCAGTGTTTCAATGCTATTGTCCGATCACAAAGCTGAAGGTAAAAATCCCAACTTGCGGTTAATTAAGTTCGTATTTGTATGGTTATATGTGTGTAGTTATGATTTTAGTTTATATAGGTATTATGTGTGAAATATATAAATAATGATTTCAATTCTATTCGAACATTTGGTTAATATGTTATTCGATTAGGTAAATCATGATTAGTTTCATTACGAAATTTTGATATATTTGAGCATCTTAGAATTTACGTGTGATTTATAAATTATGATATCATATGAAAATATGTTAATTGAAATGTCTTATTTGTAAAAACAACCCAAATACTCTATTTGATGTTGATATTGTGAGCTAGTCAGATAATAAAAATGACAACTTTTTACACTTTCGATAATATAATTATTGAACCATTGATTATTAGCTTGATATAATTGATATGTCATATGATTTATAACACTTATGTATAGATTTTTAAAAACTTCAGTCTTTGCAAGGATGAGGGATATGTATATTAGGTTGTGTCCAGGTGATATGATGATGTTTATTATATTCTATTGTATCATATGGATATTTGACAAGGTGGTGAGATCTGAGTATTTGTAGACTACTATTAGACCATTAAGCTAAACCTAATGAAACACACTTAAATGCTATGTTTTATCAAGTAACTTCATGTTTAAGAAATATTATAAAATGGCATGTTACAATTCAATGTCTATTTTCCTCTAAAAGGATCACCTCATATCACATTACACTTCATGTGCATTACCACTAGCAGTGGAACTAATTGATGTTATTCAGAGCATACAAACAGAAACTCCAATTCATTGGTATCCATTCTCTTGACAACGGTTTGTCTGAGATTATAAATTACTAATAAAAATTAGCATTACAAACACATTAAGGGACATCTCAAACAACCAACATACCAAAATCCCCTATTTAAGGTCAAGTAAAACACGAAATCCCACATTTTGATCATCAGGACACCAAACAGAAAAAATGCCTGTTTTTCTTATCCACAATTCAAAATAGAAATAGGGAAAAAGAAAAAGAAGGTCAGATGAAACTAACATATCCTCAGAGCGGGAAAACCACCTTCACACTGGGGCTCAAGCTCAGCACTCCAGCTTCTGATGTTGAAATTTTCTCCCTTCACTTCCTCTAAAGCCTTATTTCGAAAGCTTTACTTCACTTCCATCCCAAAGTATTCTGTGTCGTATATTTTTCGCAGTTCTTTTATACAAGATGACAAACCCCAGATTGCACTTTTGCTTTTGACCTCCAAAACTGAGGTATTATAATTTGTAGAGGTGTTGTTCGATGAGTAACGATTGCACTTCCCCTCTGGTATTTATCGGTATACTACCATTACAGGGAAATCTGAATATCACCTGCGGCAGAAAAATGTGAAATCTGGCTGATTGACCTGAAGAAGTCTCAGCCAATTGTCTGCAGCCTGAAAGAGGCTGTTTACCAAGTGACAATCATGTGTTCCATTGTGTGTCCACAATGAAGCCTTGAATTTGTACCAAGCAAGCCCGAAAACAGGCAATGACATCTTTGGAAGACAATCCATGTCATTGGAACATGTCATGGTCGGTGCTTGAGCACTTTCTCCGCCTGAAATATGACAAGTTAAAGCAAAGAAAACAGACAAAGATTTCTTTGCCAATAAATGGGTGCTACCAAAACTTAAGCAAGCACACACTGTTTCTTAGTAATGGCAAGTCTATAAAACACCAGTTTATGCACTCTGTATTTTAGTAAATATTCAGGTGCAAAAAGCCATTACAAACAACATCCCTATCTACCAAGAAATGAACAGAAAATACAACTGAGTGTAAACAGAGCAAGATTTTCAGTAAGCAGTAAACTTTTGCGAAAATGTGATGAAAAGATATGGCTCTTAAAACCCTTAGCATTGGTTCTCAAATTTTACTAGTTAGACACATTATGACAGACTGTCAACACCATTTGACACAGTTGTTCACAAAACCTTTTAGAGATGAAAAAGATTCACAACTACAAGCAAAGCTAGAAAAGATCACTTAACAAGAAAGCCTGGCATCATTTCCACGTCCACACAAATAGGGGAAAATGTTCTAAAAAGAAATTGATATTACCTCCTACAGGTGTCTGAAGACAATGATAAGTCAGAAAGCAAGCATCTAGATCTTTTAATGTAGGTCCAGTAGGTATCCTGTAAATTGGATACCTACAAAAAATTCAAAATAACATATATCATATATGCTAAAACAAGATTGAAAATAAATGTAATGTCAAGAAAAAAACGATAATTATACCATGCCACAGATATCCAACTGGAAGATAATAAATCACAGCTTCTTAGTGTCTTCAATTCGGGGAATCGGAAAGCTAGATCTGCAATCTGTTCCCACAGATAAGTTTAGAAGCTGAAGAGCAGGGAGATGTGTTGATCTGGACACTAAAAACCTCCTGCGGTAGAAAAGATAGGAATGAAATGGACACTAACCTTGTTGGCTAAAGGTTCACGGCTATAAGGAGTATCTTGTTCAAAATACTCAAAAATCAGACAACTTCGAGAGTTGACAGATTCACCCTCATCACTAGAGAAGTCTTCTTGAAGTATCTGCTGGTCTCCAATGAACAATCTGTCCATCCTAAGAGACATCTCACTGGCCATGTGGTGATTTCTTTTCTCTCTCGAAACATTTGCTCCTCTTTCAAGTTCACAATCACTACTACCATCACTACTCGAGTCCCTAAAGTCACTATCACTTTCCTCGCCTGGTTGCCTATCTTAAAGGGAATAAATAATTATACAAAATAATAAAATATAGTGTATTATTTTAAATTCTGATGCAAGAACCAAAACGTTAACAACTGTTGACATACTAAGCAAAAAAAGAGGTGGGTTCTTTGTGTGTGTATTTTTTTTGGTGGGGGTGGGGAGCAGGTGATTTGACATCAAATTCATTTGCTTGGACCAGAAAACGAGAGGAAGCAAACAAAGAACAAGAATAAAAAAATTATAAATAGTAATGTTCACCATTTCAACTCCACATACAACCTTTTTATTGAAAAATTCTCAACAGAAAACAAATAATTATGTTGATATCCCCACAAACAATACTGTGGTGTGCATAATTTTATTTAAGACAGTAATTGATTCACTTTAAGGCACATTTATGGACTCACTTCAAAATTGTCACCGCACACATGGCGTTTTGACAATAAACAGGAACTGGTACGCAATAAAAAGGATTTTGCATTTGGAAGGATGAGATAGGGCTTATCAAGTCAAGAGCTTATCTTCACTTTCACACAAAAGAAAAATGCTACAAAAAAAGTTAAAAATACTCCCATCATACTGAACACAAGGGAAAGAAGGCTTAAACCAAAGAACGGCTAAATCCAGATAATGCAGCACAGGAAACTTAAGACAATGTGAGCATAAGAACCAAACTTTCAGAGTTACAGATTGTATTTAATTACATTCCAAGAAGAGCATCATGCTTTAACTAAATAGATTGGAACCGTATTATTTCTGTTCAAAGCAAGCAATAAGCCCTCAACATAGAAATATAGCACAGAGGCATTGAAAAATAAGGGGACTTCATTAAAATTCACGGTAAGAATAATACACTACTCTAAAATTAAAAATAAGATATCAAAGTTTACTCGGAATAAACTTCAATGATAGCAATGCATAATTTACCTTGACTTGGCAGACAGCTTCACCGGATCGGCGTATATTTGAATACCAGATAAATAAGGTACATAGTACTGTACAACAGAATCACAGTCATTCAAAATTAGTGGGACACCTACTCCATATGCACTCCACTCTTTGAACGACTCCCACAAATCACCTAATACAAAATATGGCTCAAACTCATCGGTAAACGTCCGCCACCCTGTCATCTTCGTCTGCCACACCCCAATTTCAAATATCAATCACAGTTTTTTTTAACAGAAATTACTCGATCTCCTAAAAGTTACACCAATTTTTTTCACGTTTTTTAAGTCATTCAGTTTCACCACTTGATAAACAACATCAAAAAAAGTATTCCCGTTTTTTCACTTAAAAAAACTATAAGGAAAACTAATTTAAACGAAAGAAATACACAAGGAATTAAACAACCCAAAAAATATTATCATATTGAGATTGAATAAACCTTAGAGAGATGGAGCGCAGGGACGGAAGGCATGACCGACTCCAAAAACCGCTCTAAATTACTCAAAGGAGAAACAATCGGTTCGGAAATGGGAATCGACACCGGTTTGGGATTCTCAGTTGAACCAACCACCTTCTGAGACTCCCGGTTCACATGAGTGACGACAAGTTTATCCTTCGATTGAGTCGCGGAAACATCGGTTTGATCCCTCCATGGCTGATCGTTCTGCTGATTCCGGTTCTCTCTTCTCGCTTTGGGTGGACTGTAAAAGCGATCTTCGCCTTGAATTCTCCTGAATTCCAATCCTGCCCCCAACATATTCGATTTCTTTTGGGTACCGTGCGGATCAAAAGAGAAAGGATTGCAGAGAAGTGGGAAGAAGAAGATGAAGGATAGAATGGTCAACGCGATTAAGGAAGAACACAAAGTTTCAAGGCAGAGAGATGTGCTTTTAAAAGAGGCAACGAATAATGCGATAATTACATATCAGAGCAGCGTATCCCTAAATTTCTATTGTTTTAGTCACATCACGCCCCATCTATTAGTGATTCCAATGCCAATCTGCGGTGTAATTAATGTAAAATATCTATTAACACCGAGTTTTAATTGATATTCAATTTTAATTTCTCCCCTTATAAAGAATTAGATTTTTTAAAATCATTAAGGAGTTTCGATAGTAAAATATATATTGTTTTGATTAAAATAATTAAATTTTAACAATTATATTTGTAAGATGTATATATGTTATTAATAATTAAAATTTTAAATAAATAACATATGTTTATTTAGAAAAATAAAATATTACAATTTTATACTCTCAGTTTTTAATTTTTGGACCGTGATTAGAAACCATATGATTCAAGAATATGTTAAGCATGTATTAGTTTCTATATAAAACAATAATGCTACTATTAACAACATCTAAATCATCAAGAAAGGCCTTTGAGCAGCGGAAGAGGGTGTCGAATTCCCTTGATTGCATTTGGTGTGATATGATATAGAGATGCAAATGAGTCGAGTTTGAATATTGTTAAGTTTGATTTGGTTCGAAATTCTTTTGAAAAAATGAAACTTTGTATGTTATTAATGCTTAAACACATATAAAAAAAGTTTAAAATTTAATTCTACTTGACTTGAAAATTCACAAATTTTAAAATTGTTAAGCTCGACTCAAACTCAAAAATTGAAGCTTGACTCGAGCTCGAAAAAACTTGAACTCGAAACATTTTCAGACTTAGTTCGATTGATATTCAAACTTGAGTTCGATCCAAAGTTGAACCTGAACTTTGAGTACATGAAAGTATTATATTGTATTTTAAAAAAAAACCCAATATAAATATTAATATTATTAATATTTTAATTTTTTTAAAAAAATTAATATATTACTCTTTTGAGTTGTTGATTAGCTTTTCGAATAGATATAAAATATTTCCCTTCTACTCGTTAAGAATTCGAGTTGAGTTTAAATTCGAACCCATTCAATTCAAGTGTTAATTAAATTTTAATTGAATCGAACTTAAATAATTCACAATCTATCTCATCACATTTACAGAAATAATACGAAACATTTAACCATCACATCCGTTACAGCATTGGATTCACTATATATGTGGTCGATGCGAACGTGATTAAACTTATTGCAATAAATGAATCCTTTATCATCCTCACTCATAAAACTGAGTTTGCTCCCTTGCTCGGTTTTGAGCAAGCCTACAACAATAGTGTTATCGCATTCCATCACATTCATTACGGTAGATTTTATGTTGAATGATGAAAAATAAGAAGTTATATTAGAAATTTAAAATTACTTAATTATAAAAATTTATAAATGTAAAATTATAACCTTAATTGAAAATGTAAAAAAAAATCTAAATTATATGAAAATCTTAATCTTTTTAAGATACAACTATATCTAACATCTACCTATTCTTCAGCAAGACCCTACGCAAACTATGATGATGGAAATTGACATTTTTCTTGGGCATAATAGATTTTGACTTAATCTGATTCGATTAGGTAATTTTCTAAAAAATAGTTTAGATTACATCTGATATTTTTGAAAAATATGATCAAATTGAGTTCAGATATATATATATACACACATGTATATACATTGATGGATCCATAAATATTTTTTAGGGTAGAAATACATATGTTAATAACATAAAATTTTTGAATGGGGTGAACAAAAATAAAATTTTTAGATGTGCATTGTCAATAAAATAAATAATTATTCAAAAAAAATTCAAATTTTAAAGTAAACAAGTGTCTATCCTCACCAAGTTGTAGCTCAGTCACTATATATATACATATATATTCAATTTTATTATTAAAACAAGGATCTAATTGAATAAACATAATCTATGTTATTAGATCTCTAAATATACAAGATATAATTGTAATACCATATCACGTTGATTTTCATTATATATAAATCAAGTCGAGTTATATATAAATTTTAACTTAAAATTAGATTACATTTTAAATCAAGAGATCCTCTTAAACCTAAAATGAGTTAAATACATATAAATTTTTTAATTTGAAATCGAATTCAAATAGAAAGATTCTACCCAAACAATAATCTCCCTTACCTCTAATACTGAATATGGCGTTAAAGATGACGTCAGAGTTATCTGTTGGCAAAGTTCCTTGCTTTTCAGCCTCGCATTAGTCGTTCCCGAGACTTCTGTGGATAGGTCAAGCTAAAACATTTTTACATTGATCTTGAAAAGAAAACACACCTTCACCAGAGAGAGCACAGATAACAATGGCGGCTGGTAGTGATAAAGAAGCAGTTGTAAGCAACAAACAGGTGATATTCAAGGATTACGTTACTGGGTTTCCGAGGGAATCAGACATGGCGATCATCACTACCGGGAATCAAAAACTGAGAGTGGCGCCTGGTTCCAAAGACATTGTCGTGAAGAATCTTTACTTATCATGTGATCCTTATATGCGGCTCTTAATGAAATCCAGTTCTGGGATTTTCAGTCCCTATACCCCTGGCTCTGTATCTCTCTTTTCTTGTCAAATCTCTTTGGGATCGGATTCATTTGCATCCATAATCAAAACCCAGTTTTTTGGGTCGTTCTGCGGTGTGGCGCCTAAAAAACGGCTAATATACGGCGTGACCGGTTAAACAAGTGACTGGTTAAAATTTAGACCGGTTATGTTATATTATTTAACCGGAAATATTATAAAGTACAATAACATACTAGGTAGCGCTTATATAATGTAATAGGTAGCGCTTATATTTACCTATTTTATAAGTAAACCAGTATATTTATACCGATAGCATTGCAAATTTACCTATTACATTATATTATATTGAAAGTGTCCATACTTTTTATAAAAAGGATCGATACTTTAACAGTGTTTCATGTTTTCCACCTACAATATTGATTTAATAATTTCATTTGCACAAAAAATTATTTGATTGTTTTGATATTTTATAAAATATTATTTAGAATTTTTAATTTAATAATAATATATACCGTAACGTAAAAAATAAATCATTAGACGCCTATAATTACTAAATTAATATCTTAAAACTCACTCAAAAGATAACCTTAAATTAATGTTTTCCACAGTGAAAAAAGTATGGACACTTTTATAAAAAGGATAGACACTTTACAATATAACCATTACCTATTACATTATATAAACGATACCTATTACATTATATAAGGGCTACCTATTACATCATATGTTTACCTATTATATTGAAAGTGTCCATACTTTTTATAAAAAGGATCGATACTTTTTTTAAAACTTATGTAATTTATGTTTCAATTTTTTTAACAGTGTTTCATGTTTTCCACCTACAATATTGATTTAATAATTTCATTTGCACAAAAAATTATTTGATTGTTTTGATATTTTATAAAATATTATTTAGAATTTTTAATTTAATAATATATACCGTAACGTAAAAAATAAATCATTAGACGCCTATAATTACTAAATTAATATCTTAAAACTCACTCAAAAGATAACCTTAAATTAATGTTTTCCACAGTGAAAAAAGTATGGACACTTTTATAAAAAGGATAGACACTTTACAATATAACCATTACCTATTACATTATATAAACGATACCTATTACATTATATAAGGGCTACCTATTACATCTTATGTAATTTATGTTTCAATTTTTTTAACAGTGTACTGCGAATTTAAAATGATAATATACTTGTAGTTATTGTACATACCTAAATATGTACTGCGAATTTAATGTTGTACCCACCCTTTAACTACAGAAACATGTTCAAAATGAACCTTCGTTTACATATCCATCAACTCCTGGAGCACTGAACTTGCACAACAAAATTTTTGCCATGGATAATACTGATGTAGACAATGTTAAGCCAACCGAGGAATGCCATGAAGTACATAATGTTGATGAATCTGACAGATTGGTTGGTCAGCTCTTCTGTTCACGTGATCAAGCTTGGCACTTTTACAAGGGATTCGCACGGGAACATGGGTTTAGTGCACGTAAGGGAACAACACGGCTTGACGTGGAAGGGAATGTGAAGACACAAGAATTTTGTTGTTCCAAAGAAGGGTTTCGAGTATCAAAAGTCAATACTGTTGATCGTCAACGTGCTCATACGCCAGTCACAAGAACAGGATGTAAGGCTAGAGTCGTAGTTACAGCAACAAATACAAACGATCAGTGGGTTATAAGTAAGTCTGATCAGAAACATAATCATGCATTGTGCACATCTGCTATGACACCATTTATGCGTTCTAATCGAGCTGTAAGTAAGGCTGATATCGATGAGGCAACAACATTGAAAGAGGTCGGTGTTGGCACGTCACAAGTAATGAACTATTTAACGCAGCAGGCAGGGGGCTATCATAATGTTGGATTTACACATAAAGACCTCTACAATGCACTTCAAAGAGGTAAAGCAAAGGAAATCGTCGATGGGGATGTGAATGCGCTTATTGCCTACTTTGATTATAAGAAACATGATGATCCCGGGTTTTTTATGACATACTCGGTAGACGAATCGGGGGCATTGTATAATCTTATTTGGTCGGATTCTACATCGAGATCGGATTACACATGCTTCGGTGATGTAATTGCGTTCGACACAACGTACAAAGATAATTTGTATGGTCGACCAATTATGCCTATTGTTGGTGTCAATCATCACCATAACACAATTGTGTTGCCACTGCCATAATCGCTGACGAAACGTCTCAATCTTTCGAGTGGGTGCTACAGAATTTTTTAGAAGCCATGATGAATAAATCACCTATTTCTGTTGTAACCGATGGGGATAGGGCAATGCAGAGGGCTATCAAATCTGTTATCCCTTATGCTAAGCACAGATTATGTTCTTGGCATCTTTCTCGCAATGCACAAGCTAACATTGGTGACCCAAAGTTTACAGCAGCATTCTCAAAATGCATGGCTTCCTGGTGGACAACCAAGGAATTTGATATTCAATGGCGTTCGATTGTTTCAGAATTCAACGTCCAAAAGCATCCATGGGTGATTGAGAAGGGAAATACACGACACTTATGGGCACAAGCATATCTAACCGGTCATTTCTTTGCCAATATTCGCTCAACACAAAGGTGCGAGTCTATGAATGCTTCACTAGCTATTGCACTGAAACACAAGAAGACATATTTAGATGTTGTTCGTGCAATTGAAGATGGAATTAGTAGAATGCGTATGAACGAGTTGAAAGCGGATTACTTAAGTTCCCATACGAAGCCCTTCCAGATCACAAAACTGGTCGACCTTGAAAGCCATGCCGCTGCGATTTTTACCCGCGAATCTTTTCGTGTGTTCCAAGATGAACTTACACGGGAGACATTGTACCGGATTGAGGCAGAGATTAAGTCCTTATCAGATGAATGTCAACATTATATTTTGTCAAAGTACGCAGAAAAAAATAGGAAATTTGAAATTAGTTTTGATTCTCGTACGAAAACTCTAATTTGCTCCTGCAAAAAATTCGAGACCGTTGGACTTCCGTGTCGCCATCAACTTCACATTTTGAAGCAATTGGACTACACATATTTGCCCGGGACTTTGATTCAAAGTAGGTGGACTAATGATGCGAAGGCTTCTGCACCCAGCTATGTTGATTTGAATGTGTCTCCAGAAGTGATGCAAATGGCAAGGTTCGCTGCTCTACGTTCAACGTCAAGTAGGTTATGCTACATTGCATCAAAGACAGACGAGTCTTTCAAAACCGCAAGAGATGAGATGAAAAAACTAATAGAAGAATTAGAAAACTCGTTTGGTTTGAATCATTCAGTCAACCAGAGCATTGTAGTAAACAATGTTCGTGACCCTCAACGAAAACAACGCAAGCGAAAAGAAGTGCCGAAGAACAAGGTCGAGAAGCAAATTAGGCGATGTGGGTACTGCAACGGTGAGGGGCATAACAAACTAACATGTCCTCAAGTCAAGCTTAGTTTGAGTACAAGCACACAGCCTACATCAACTGATTTTTTCGAAGACGGAATGGAATGACAACGATCTCCATATAATATATCGTAAGTATCAACATCACTCCTATTGTATGTACATATAAATATTTTGAATGAAGGAAGAAAAACCGCGTTACTTCAAATTACCGACACTTTTTAAATGGTATGGACATAAAGTACCGACACAATATTAAAAAGTGTCGATATAGGTTGTAGACCTATTCGCTCATAAAACCAGTATATTTATACCGGTTATATTACAAAATTATCTATTACATTATAATTATGGGTTCCGATGTGTAAAATGTCGACACTTTTTAAATTGTATCGACACATTTTTCTTCCAATATGGACATAAAGTACCGACACAATATTAAAAAGTGTCGATATAGGTTGTAGACCTATTCGCGCATAAGACCGGTATATTTATACCGGTTATATTACAAAATTATCTATTACATTATAATTATGGGTTCCGATGTGTAAAATGTCGACACTTTTTTAAATTATATCGACACAATTTTCTTCCAATATGGACATAAAGTACCGACACAATATTAAAAAGTGTCGATATAGGTTGTAGACCTATTCGCGCATAAGACCGGTATATTTATACCGGTTATATTACAAAATTATCTATTACATTATAATTATGGGTTCCGATGTGTAAAATGTCGACACTTTTTTAAATTATATCGACACAATTTTCTTCCAATATGGACATAAAGTACCGACACAATATTAAAAAGTGTCGATATAGGTTGTAGACCTATTCGCGCATAAGACCGGTATATTTATACCGGTTATATTACAAAATTATCTATTACATTATAATTATGGGTTCCGATGTGTAAAATGTCGACACTTTTTTAAATTGTATCGACACATTTTTCTTCCAATATGGACATAAAGTACCGACACAATATTAAAAAGTGTCGATATAGGTTGTAGGTTGTAGACCTATTCGCGCATAAGACCGGTATATTTATACCGGTTATATTACAAAATTATCTATTTTATTATAATATGTTGAAAGTGTCCATACTTTTTATAAAAAGGATCGAAACTTTTTTTAAAGATATGTAATTTATGTTTCAATATTTTTTAAGTATGTTTCATGTTTTCCACCTACAATATTAATTTAATAATTTCATTTGCACAAAAAATTAGTTGATTGTGTTGATATTTTATAAAATAATATTAAGAATTTTTAATTTAACAATAATATATACCGTAACGTAAAAAATTAATCATTAGACGCCTATAATTACTAAATTAATATCTTAAAACTCACTCAAATGTATATGTACACATAGAAGCAAATATGGAATAATTAATGAAAATATACATACAATATAATCACACCAAAATTTAAATACACAAGAATGTTCAAATAATGTACCGACAAACAAAATTAATCCGATGAAAAAGGGTTGTTTCTAACGAAGTCCGGAACATTAGAGGCCTTCAACAAATTTTCCAAATACTCTCGTATGTTTCCGCCTTTTTCTGAGGACATACATAAATAATTTCAATTATCAAACTAATGA